TGTAAGAATATCCCCTTCAGTTGTCATGCTTTTTCTCATCATTAGGGCTCTTAAGTCTTTCAAAAACTCTTCAAGTGTGTTGTATCGTTCCATAAACTGTGAAAATAACCCAAAGGAGCTATCTTTCATGATTTCATATTGTTTTCTGGCTTTTTTGTAATATTCATCCTCTCCCTGGGAGGGGTCACTGTATTGTTCTTGGAAATATAAACTGTGCCAATACCCTGATGCTTGAGAAGCATTATGTTTCCCATAAAGGTAAAACTTCTCAGTGCAGTGAGAGTAATTTTCCACATTGAGAAGGATTTCCCTCTCCTTTTCTGGGATACCCTTCCACCCTTTCCGATAACCTTCTGAATAATGACAACAAAAACATTTGCCAGGGGTGGTCTTTGAAGCCTTTATCATTCTATGCCGTAGCCCATTTAGAGAGGCAGGGGGGTTAAAGATTGTAGGTTTGCCTGTTTTCTCTGCTAAGAGAAGAGTGGCCAAAACCACAGCTTCTTCATTGATCAAAGCAGGCAAAAAGGAAAACTCACGTACTGTTTCAGGGTGTTCATATATCAGAGTGGCATTTCTCCCATATTGATCAAACATAAATTTGGCATGCTCCTTGAACCAGTTACCATCTACTTCCAAAATTGACACACACATTAACACACATATCACCCACAAAGCTTTCATTCTTCTGGAATCTGACCGTATGTAGAGCAACCGTTCCGGTAGGTTGCAATAGGGTCTAGTTCCGTCTTCTATCCAGTTGGGGTCTGACAGTGCGTAGAGCTTAGTCGCTTCCAGGTATGGACTTAAGCCGCAATGTCTAGCCCGTATCTTCTCATCCAACAGCAGGGGCAGATCTGACTGTACGCAGGGCAAGACAGCTTCCTGGTATGTGTCTTGCAGTATCAGTCTAGTCTGAATCTTCTTATTCACCAACGCCTCCCTTTTGGTTAGAACAACCAAAGTTTCAAGTTATTTTAAGCTTTAGTGGGTCTTTTGGGTCTGGAATAGCTTGCCAACTGGGAGCAGCCTTTTTAATTCTAGTCCAGTGAAGCCAAGGTTTGATTTCTGCTACCTTGACCGCACTGGGTGATGTAAGAATTACCACATAGGGTCCCTTCCATTTGGGTTGCAAAGTTTCCCCTTTCCAATCTTTAACCCACACCTCATCCCCTGGGTGAAACAAGTGAGTGGGGGTCATGTGAATGGGCGGCCTGAACTCATAGGCATACTGTCGTAGCTCTTGCAGTGTTTTCCCCAAAGCAACCATTTCCTGTCTCTTTGCCTGGGCCCCTATCTCATGCAGTTCCCCTTGCAATCTGGGAAACAAAGGAGGGGGCCTCCCATAAAGCATTTCAAAAGGAGACAGTCCAATGCTCCTAGTGGGGGTGCATCTAATATGTAACACTGCTAGAGGAAGAAGTTGAATCCAACTAAGTTCAGTTTCTTGACACATTTTAGCTAACTTAGTTTTCAGAGTTCGATTCATTCTCTCAACCTTGCCTGAGCTCTGAGGCCTATATGCACAATGCAATTTCCAAGTTATTCCAAGAACCTTAGCCAAGCTTTGAATGGTGGCTTTAACAAAAGCAGGGCCATTATCTGAGTCTATGAATGCTGGCATCCCATGTCTTGGGATTATGTCTTTCATGAGTGCTCTTGCCACTTCCGTGGCCTTTTCAGTAACAGTAGGGTACACTTCCGGCCATCCAGTGAAAGTGTCTACCATCACCAGTAGGTAGCGGTATCGCCCTACTCTAGGCATTTCACTGAAATCTACAACAATGGCTTCAAAGGGTACATTTCCACAATGCTGGATGCCTGGGGGCTGGCGCGGCCCTTGGCGTGGATTGTTCTTAGCACAGGTGTGACACCTAGCTGAAGCTGCCATTGTCAAAGAGTGGAGTCCATCTATGTACAGTTGTCTTTCTAGTAGTTTAGCTAGCGCCATTTTTCCTAGATGTGTTGACTCATGGGCTCCCTTTACTACTTCCCAGGCCATGGTTCTGGGGACAATGATTCTTCCATCCGGAAAGGCTAACCAACCAGTAGAGTTCGCCAATTCTACTGCTCCATTGTCCTGGGCCCATTGTTGTTCTTCTTTATTATAGGTAGGCTGCACCTTGGGATTGGGCAAGGGGAGAAGGGTAGCCACCTGAAGGGGTCTGGCAGCGGCTTCTTTGGCTGCTGCATCTGCCCTTCGGTTCCCTTGTGCTACCGGATCTTGCCCTGGTTGATGTCCCTTGCAGTGCATCACAGCTACTTGTTTTGGGGCCCATACAGCTTCTAGGAGATGTAATATCTCTTCTGCATGTTTGACTGGTTGGCCTGCTGCAGTTAAAAGTCCTCTTTCTTTGTAAAGTGCACCATGGGCGTGCAGTACTGAAAAGGCATACTTTGAATCAGTGTATATGTTAACTCTCTTTCCCTTTGCTATCTCCAGAGCCCTGGTGAGAGCAATGAGCTGAGCCTTTTGAGCTGATGTATTTGCTGGCAGTGGATTTGCTTCCAATATTTCTTTGATGGTAACTATTGCATATCCTGCTTTTCGCTCCCCTTCTTCCATAAAGCTACTGCCATCAGTGTATATGGTGAGCTGAGCTCCTTGCAATGGAACATCAGTCAAATCAGGTCGACTGGCATATACTGTGTCCATTACTTCAATACAGCTATGATGTTTCTCCATATGGGGATCTATAGGTAAGAGGGTAGCAGGATTCAAAGTAGTGCATTGCTGAACCTTAATGTGAGGATTCTCACATAACAACGTCTGGTATTTCAGCATTCTGGAGGTGGTAAGCCAATGGTGTCCTTTGTGCTCTAACAATGTCACTACCTCATGCGGGGCCTTGATGGTCAAATCCTGTCCTAGGGTCAACTTCCGGGCTTCTTCAGCTACTAAGGTGGCAGCTGCTACTGCGCGTAGACATCGGGGCCATCCTTTTGCTACCATGTCTAGCTGTTTAGACAAATAGGCCACTGGTCATGGCCAGGAGCCCAAAGTCTGAGTTAAAATGCCAATGGCTACACCCCCTTTCTCAGCAACATAAAAAGTGAAGGGTTTGGTTACATCAGGTAGGCCCAAAGCTGGTGCTGTCATCAGGGCCGACTTTATTTGCTGAAAAGCCTCGTCCTGTTCTTGTGTCCATTTAAAGGGTTCTTTTTCACCCCCCTTTGTAACTTGGTACAAAGGTCTTGCCAATACTGCATAGCCAGGAATCCAAATTCTACAAAATCCCGCTGCCCCTAAGAATTCGCGGACTCTCTTTCTCGTAGTGGGGACTGGGATTTGGCAGATGGCTTGCTTTCGTTCAGTTCCTAGGCTTCTAAATCCTTGTTTTATTTGAAATCCTAAGTATTTTACCTCAGTCCCTTATGGCAAAGTAATTGGAGTAGCCGCTGGATGGCACCCCAACTCTCTTCCATTGAGGTGGAGGCCAAAAGTAAATCATCTACATATTGCAAAAGGACAGTCTTTTCTGGGTCAGAATGAAAGTCCTCCAAGTCTTTTGCTAGGAAAGTTCAAAATATCGTTGGTGAATTTTTAAAACCTTGAGGCAATCTTGCCCAAGAATATTGTTGTTTTGCTCCTGTGGCTGGGTCTTCCCACTAAAAAGCAAACAACAACTGGCTTTGGGGGGCTAACCTTATGGAGAAAAAAGCATCTTTAAGATCAAGGACTGTAAAATGTGTGGCCTCTGCTGGTATGAGTCCCAATATCACATAAGGATTTGGCACAACTGGGTGCAAGGTAACTGTTGCCTTGTTGACTTCTCTAAGGTCTTGAACAGGGCGAAAATCATCTGTGGTACCTGGCTTCTTGATTGGAAGGAGTGGTGTATTCCATGGAGACTGGCATTTTGTTATAATGCCATGCTGCCACAGACGGTCCAAATGTTTTTGGATTCCCTTTATTGCTGGTCTGGGAATTGGATACTGCTTTAGACTGACTGGATGGGCTCCGGGGATTAACTCTACTATGACCGGAGGTATGTATTTGGCCATGCCTGGGGGGTTATCTTCTGCCCATACCTCAGGAGTTTCAAACTTTTCCCATTCATTGTTCTCTGAGCCCTTTTTAACTACTAGCAGCCTCCATTCCTCCTCCATGGGGCAGGTGAGGTGCAAAAGGCCTGTGGTTCTTCCTAAAGCCATCTTAGCAGATCCATCTTCCTCAAGATGCTTTTTTCTCCATAAGGTTAGCCCCCCAAAGCCAGTTGTTGTTTGCTTTTGAGTGGGAAGACCCAGCCACAGGAGCAAAACAACAATATTCTTGGGCAAGATTGCCTCAAGGTTTTAAAAATTCACCAATGATATTTGGAACTTCCCTAGCAAAAGACTTGGAGGACTTTCATTCTGACCCAGAAAAGACTTCCTCAAATGATAGCCTTGCTTTTAGTTTGCATAGCATGTCTCTTCCCAGCAATGGAACTGGGCAGTTAGGCATATATAAAAAACTGTGGGTGACTTCTTTAGTTGCTAGCTGACATCTTCTCTCCTGTAGAAAAGGTCGGAGACATTGGTCTCCTGTTGCTCCCATAACTTTTATGGTTTGCTGAGTTATGGGGGCCAATGGGGTGGTAACTACTGATTTTTCCACTCCTGTGTCGACTAGGAATGTTATTTCTTGGGATCCTACTTTTGCCTTGACCAAGGGTTCCCTGGATCCCAAGGTTAGAACCCCGGACTGGCTTCAGTCCTCTTCTGGCCCTGACCATTGGGGGCCTCCGGCCAATCCAATGAATCCTTCTTCCCCTGGCTGCTCACGTGCTTCTTGATAGAAGGGTCTCTGTCTTCCGGGCACCTCACTTCCTCTTCCTCTCTGCTCTTGTGGGTGTCCTCTTCCTCTCCCTCTTCTTATCTGGGGACAATCTCTCCTCCAATGTCCCTGTTCTTGCAGTTGGCAGATTGGTTCTGCCCGAGGGGCTGTCCTCTTCCTGGCCCATAACTTCGCCCTCTGCTTCGCCCTCTGCTTTGCCCTCTTCCTGGGTTCCATTCCCTCAGTGCCTCTGTTTATCCCTCTTCTCTTCCTGATCTCTATTTGCCATGACTCTATTAGCAATTTCAATTAATTGAGACATGTTCATTCCAGCAAACCCATCCAATTTCTGTAGCTTTCTTCTAATATCTGGGGCGCTTTGTTCTACAAAAGTAGCATTCACCATGTTTCTATTTGCTTCCACTGCGGGATCAAAAGGCATGTATTGTCTGTAGGCACTTAACAGCCTTTCCAGGTAGGCGCCTGGGCTTTCATCAGCACCTTGCTTTATTTCTTTTACTTTAGATAAGTTACTAGGCTTTTTTCCAGCTTCTGCAAGGCCTTGGATCATTAACTGGCCATACTGATGAATTCGAGCCAATTGGGCTGCTATATTAGGATCCCACTGTGGATCAGCCTCTGGACAATTCTCCCTCATGTGGTCAACTGGGTTAACAGCAGCATTTCTCCTAGCCTCAGTCTGCCGCTTCATAGCTGCTAAGACCCTCTTACGTTCCTCCGTAGTAAGGAGGGACGTCATCAACTGCTGACAGTCCTGCCATGTAGGGTCATGTGTATTGACAATATTAGTGAAAACATCTGTCATTGGTCCTGGATCTGTAGAGAAGGGGGTGGTGTGTGTTTTCCAATTGAAAAGATCTGAGCTGAGCTGGTAAATGGCACATGCGTAAAAGCTGGCCGGAACCAAGGTACTTGTCCACCCTCAACTTGAGTCCCTATGAATTCCCTCACTTGACGAAGGGGCATTACTGTAGCCAATTTCTTGTTTGCCTTGTCCATATTCCTTAAGTTATGGTCATGGCCTTTTGCTGCTTTCAGAGTTGCCTTTGCCTGTAGGGATTCTTTTTCAGGGGAAGGAGTTGAAGAAGACTCAGTCATAGTAGAGTCTGTGTCATCATCTAAATCTTCAGGGAGATCTGGGTACAGTTGTGCTGGGGCCATAGGGTGCGTTGGAGGGCTTACTGTTGCTGGATCGTGGGCTGGATTTGCAGGGGCCTGGGGGGCTATGAGCTCCCCAGTTGAATAAGGAGGAGGTACAATGATTTCTTCCTCAACAGGGCATGGCAGAATAGGAGCTTTAGTTTTCTGTGCTAGGAGAGTTTTGTAATGTGCTAAAGCACAAGGCTTCAGCCATTCTGGCATTTGGCTCACCACATCTCCCCAAGCTAGGATATATGGGATATGTGTGGGATAACTTCCCTCAAAAGGATTTGCTCCTCTTGCTTTATCATAGACACTAGCAATGATTTGTTGATCAAGAGTGCCCTCTTCTGGCCAACCTATGTTAAATTTAACCCATTCCTTCTGGCATAAAGTTTGCAACCTACTGGGCCTTAGTGGTTCTCCATAGTCTAGCTTTCCAAAGCTTTTGTCAAAGTGTGCTAACATGAGCTCTAAAGGGCTTTTAGGCTTGCTGCTAACAGACCCTCCCATGTCAGACAAATAGACAACTAATACAGCCCACACATAGCTAAGAGAAAGAAAATATGCCACACAGGTGAACAGTAAACAATGCGTAGTTTATTCTTCTTAGTTCAGAACAAGTCATGTACAGAGTGAACACTTGCACATCAACTCACACAATGTCCTTTTATGAGAGATTTAAAATAGTTTTTCCTTGTCCATTTGGATAAACTCCTTCAGCAGCTCTTGAAGCAGGAGTACACGCCAAAATCTGTCTCTCTGCTTCTCTCTTTTGCTCTCTGCACCTGCTTAGCTCCAGCCTGAAAGAAAATTTGAAACAGTAACCAAACATGCTGGAAGTGTAGAAAGGAAGTAGGAACATACTACCATATGTTCTGGAATTGCAATGAGATCCAAAAATTTTGGATATCGGTCCACAGACATATACAAAATATATTAAAAACGAAATTTGACATGAAACCCGAATATTATCTACTAAATATAACAAACCTGGATTTGAAGAGAAATGAGGAAAAGATTCTTTTCTATCTGGCAGCAGCGGCAAGAATATTAATAGCCCAAAAATGGGAGACAATGGAAACACCTTCAAACGACGATTGGATAAGGAAGGCTATAGAGTTTATGGACATGGACAGACTTTCGTGCCTACTGGAAAATCAGGACAAGAGGAATTCAATTAACTGGAATCAATTTAAAGAATACTTAAAAAAGAAGCAACTAAACTGAAAGCTACAACCTCTGTGGACCGAACGGAAGTTACCAGAGATTCACTACTCTCCCCTCTTCCCCCCCATCCCCCCTTCTTTCCCCCCTTTCCCCCTTTCCTTTGCCCAACCTCTTCCCAGTCTGCCCCCACTTCGAACCCTCACTTCAACTATTTTCCTACTTTACTATCACTGAGATTGTTCCCACTCTTTCAATGTTAAAAGGAAAACTTTAATAAAAATTAATTTAAAAAAAATAAGAAAATTTGAAACAGTAACCAAACATCCCAGGCTCAGCCATCAACCCAGGCATTGTCTGACCAATCAGCTTCATGCATCTTCTTTTGTCCGATGGTTAAGCTTTCATAGGTAAGATGAGCACACAGGCCATAAAAGGAGAAACGTGGCTTGCGGAAGGGGCAACGGCAGCCATAGGCAGTCCTGGGCCACTGAAGATGCCTCAAGAGAAACCACAACAGTGAGCTCAGAATCCACAAAAGGCAAGAGTTGGCCTGAGCCACAGAGCCCACCTGCTGCTAAGGAGAAGACCCACCCTGACAGCTATACCTCCTCACGGTCCTCCAGCTCTTTCACCCAGCGAAGTGGAGAGTGGCCAGCTGTCCCTGGAGCTCAGTCCTGCAGGCGGCGGCAGCATCATCCAGGTGGCCCTTGACGACAGCGATTAAGAGCTCATCTGGGACAAAAGAACGTTTTTGCAGCAGCTGGGACATGACGCCCAAGGTATGCAAGAGAGTAGCCACTCTTCCCTGTCATGGCCTGTGGCTGCAGGCGGCGGCAGCAGCATCCTTCATGGCTCGAACGTAGAAAGCAGGAGGTTCAGGTCCATGACTCGGTGCAAGACTTAAAATGGAAAGGACACCGCCAAGAGATGATCCTCCTCAGAAAAAGCAGCAGCTTTCCCAGGAGCCCAGTTCTGCAGGCGGAAGCTGCAACATCCAGATGGCCCTTGAACACACCGAGGAAGACATAATCTGGGACAAGACAGTTTATGCAAGAGAGGAGACACTTTTCCATGTCAGCCCCCCCTGGGAAGAGCAGCAGCTTCTCCCTCCCCCGCTGTCCTGCAAGGCACCTCCTTTTCTTCGGTGGATGACCAGGGTGGCCTCCATCATGGCCCTTGAAGACACCAAGGAAAGCATCATCTGGGACAAAAGACAGTTTATGCAAGAGAGCAGCCACT